GATGGGTCGAAAAACGTCGTGGCGTTCCTGTGGGTGATTCGCTCCTCATCGCGGTTACGCTTTCTGCTGTTGCCCTCGCAATTGGACCAGATATCCGAGGCGAATTGCCAGTTGGCTTGCAGAACAGCCATGATCATGATCACATGCTGTTCAAGGAATGGAGGGTGGTACCGATACGGAAGTAAAGGTAAATGCGCATGTGCGTCCCAGCCCCGCTACCAAGGTATGTATGCGATGGAAAGCATGGCGGCAACAAAATCTAGATTGCGGGGATTTTACTCTTTATGCGGTAAGTAGATATGCGTCGACGCTCGGGCCAAACAGCGGCGACCTTTCCTATCGGAGTGAGGAAGGGGAGGGAAACGAGGAACATAAAAATTAATCTGCGGATCATTGTGATGGTAATGATGATGACGAGGAGGATGAGGACGAGGAGGAGGAGGAGGAGAGAGAGCGAGAGGATGGTGGATGCGGGGTTCGCCTTCTTCCATCAGGACCGAGACAGAGCGGGATGATGAGATGCTGCTGATGATGATCATGGTCATGCTGATAACGATGATGATGATGACGATGGTGATCATGGTGATGATGCTGGTGATGATAATGCGGATTCTGATGATGGTGGTGACGGCGCCGATGATACTGATGAGGTTGCTGCTGATGATGATAATGCTGATGCTGATGATGATGCCGCATCCTCTCCCCGAGCCGTGGCCAGACTGAGTGTCGAACGACTCATATAGACACACACAACTCTTTCGAACGTCGATGCTGCAACCGACATGTTGCTTCGAAGATCGAGGGACCTTGGCGCCTCGCCCAGCACTAATTAAGTATCACAGGAGCACATCTTGACAGCGCGTCTGCAAGCTGTGCGAGGCAGGGTGGACGCGGGCGGGTTTCTTTCGCCAGAAAGGAGCGGGGCCCACACGGCCACGGAATGCTGGCTGCGACATTGGGGTTGGGACAACGGATCTTTGCCGCATCCTCTCTCTCCCCGAGCCGTGGCCAGACGGAGCGTCGAAAGACTCAGATATACACAACTCTGTCGAACGTCGATGCTGCAGGCGACATGTTGCTTCGAACATCGAGGAGCCTTGGCGCCTCGCCTGGCTGCCCATAGCTGGCCCTCTGGCCGTTCATGTCAAAAAGGCAGCCTCTCACGTCGGGAGAGGCCTTCAGCAATGCACTTGATGAGGCTAGCTGACATCCAAATTCCAAAATGCACGAACGGTGAAACAGGCACTGGGCTCTGAACATCACCTCTGGATCTGCACGGGCCACCGTGCTGGGGCGGCCAACCGAGGCCGAAGAACGCACAGTGCACTGGGCGATGCATGCCACCGCTCCCGAGCGAGCAAGGCGAGAGGCAGCGAACGCGTTCGTCTGCTTGCTGCAGAAGAAAGCGGGTCTGAACGTCTGGCAGGCTAGGCGGAGCGGATGGCAGCGCGCAAATGGCAGGCAGGTTCGCGCTTCGGGCTGCGCGGAACAGCGTGCACAGATGAAGAAAAAGGCTTCAGGATTCGGCGTCGCGGGCCAGGTCAGCGTCGCTGCCGAAGTCGAGTGTGATGGGATCCACCCCACCAGTTGGCGCCTCAGGAGAGGAGACGACAGGTACTTAGCATTGATCCACAAGGCGCCGTGGTCAGTGATGGTCGGGGCAGCTTTGGCCAGCTCGCCGCACACAAACCCCGGCTCCAAGATCAGCGAGCCACGGTGCTGACGGCAGAGGCGGCCCGCGCGAGCGACCTCGCGGGGGGCTTCTAGATCCTCGCTCCGAACTCTCTCGGGGTCCTCGGGGCGGTCACCTTTAGCGAGAGATGCCCCTGTTGGGCCTCGACCTCCTCGGCGAAGCCTGCCATCCATTCGGGCGCCTTGTTCGGCAGGGACAGGCGCCCGACCTCCTTGGTGTGCCTGGCGACTGACTGCTGCCCCGAGTGCCTGAGGGTGGACTGGGCCTCTGCCAACGGGGCGCGGTCTATGGCCACCGCGTGCGATGCCGCTCCGTGCCTCGCCAGGTACGGGATGACAGTCTCGTCGCAGCCGACCAGCTTGAGGTACTGCGCGAACTTGACCTTGAACGTATGGGGCGTGAAGCTCCAGAGCGGCTCCAATGGGCGCCGCATGGCGCGGAGCTTGGCGAGGAAAGAAGAGCCCTCCTGGTGCCGGAGCTCGCTCCGAAGGGCCACGCCCTCGTCGCAGCCTCGAGTCTTGCATCGAGCCTCCACCTTTCTCGGGTACAACAACAGTACCCACTTGGGGCGCACCCCGCGCCCTGTGCCCACGAGAGTCTCGGGGGCCATCGCCAGCGCGTCGCTCGGCAGGCGGAGCATCGCGTTCCAGGAGATCGCGAGGGCGGCCGCGAACTCCGGGTCCCGCCTGAGAATGCTGGCCCCGACGGCGAAGCCCGCGCAAGGCCGCTCGTGCCTGAGGCAGCCCGCCGAACTCGGCCTTCGGCAGGGCTGGCCTGTAGTGCTGGATCGCCGCCAACAGCTGAGAACACGTCTCCCCGAGCTCCCCTTCCCAGTGTAGGTGGTCCAGGTAGTGGGCGAGCAGCGGGTCGAGACGGTCCAGGGCGATCAGCTTCAGGGGCCCGAGGTTGGCCCGCGCCAGGAACAGGATGGCCATCTTCTGGTAACTTCTTCGTGTTGCTTCTATTGGGCGTGTATGTTGCAAGTGCGTCAGCCCAGACTCGGCGGCCGCGGCCTTGCCGTCGGCGTCGAGAGCTCGCCGCTTCGCCCTCTCGGCCTTCAGCAGTGATTGGCGGGGCTTCCCCGCAGTGCGTAGGTGACGAAGAGCTTGAGGCGTAGCTTCTGCCTGCCGTGCGGTAGGATGACGACGGAGCACTCGTGCTGGCCGTGCGTCCGCTCCCCCGTGGAGTGCGGGCGCTCTCGACGTCCAAGCCGTCGTCCGTCCCAGGCGTCATCGCCCCCCTCCTCAAGGTGGTGCTGGATGCCGAACTTGTTCTACTTGCGCTTGCCATCTGGGTCGGACTCGTGGCAGTCGAGGCGCCTGACCTCCTTGAGCAATGCCCTCTCGAAGGCGGACCTGGCCTCGGGGTGTTCTCAGGCCGAGCCCAGCGCCCGAAGAGGGCGGGGGTCCAGGCGTCCAGAGGGAAGACCGGGCTGGTGTCGAGGCCCGTGAAGTCGCCCTGTGTCGCGCGGTCAGTGGCCGGACCGTCGGGAACGCTCTCCTCGCGCGTTCTCGTCGGCACTCTCTCAGAATCATCGTCGTCGAGGTCGCGGTTGGCCTGCTCGAGGCCCGCCGCGAGCTGGCTCGAGAAGGCGAGCTCGCGAGCCGCCGCGGCGCCAGCCGCGAGGTGGCGCCGACGCTGTGAACGTCTAGCGGCACCCCATGCCGCCTCGGTGGGCCAGGGGCGCTCCGTGGCGCCGAAGCCGCCGGAGAGAGTGCCCTCGGGGTCGCCGTCCCCCGTCGAGGCGCCCGCGCTCGTCGCGACGGGGTCGACGGGGCGCCTCGCGTTGAGGAAGGCCAGACCCAGCAACGCGCCCGCGGCCCGCAGCTCGTAGGCCACGTCGGGCCACAGACGCCAAACGCTGTCCCCCGCCTTGCGCGCGTGCCGATACGCAGCGCTGAAGACGGAGAGGAGGGGCCCCCTCGAGAGCGCGGCCCAGTTGTAGTGGCCGACGAGCTGGAACACCGCGCGCCCAGACGCATTCCTCTGAGGCGCTAGCTCCAGCAGGGCGACGCGTATCTTCCACGAGCGGCTCGACGACAGGCGGGCCTCGCCTGCGGCCCGCTGGAAGACCAGGCCAGTGAAGGTCTGCTCGTCCGTGGTGGCGGTGATGCCCTTGCAGCGCAGCCCACTAGCCTCCAGCTCGCGCTCGACCGCGGAGATGCCATCCCGCGCTTGCTGCCGATTCACGCCGACCACGACCGCGCCGTCTACGTAGGTGGCGACAGCGGGGCTGATGGTCGCGTCCTTCACCGCGTGCTTGTCGCTGATCATGTCCCTATCGCGGAACCCCGCTTTCAAGACGTGCGCTGGGGCGACGTGCCGGCAGAAGTGTAGGGGCCAGTTCCAGCCGATCGGCAACGCGAGCAAGCGGGGAGCGGCCCGCTACCCGCTGATAAGCTCCACGGGCAACGAGGAGTCGATCCTCGCCAAGTCCGACGCGAGGGCGCTGGGCAAGACCATGAACTCGGACGACCCCTCTGGCGCCTCCATGCGGTAGAAGGCGGCCTCGATGTCCACCTGGTCGATCACCAGCTCGTCGGACTCGCGAGTGTGGAGCCCGCTCCACGTGCCAGCCGTCGGCAGCTCCGCCGTGGCGGGATCGTTGAAGTAGGAATATACCTTCCTCGTGTGCAGGGCCAAGCGGCGTCTCCCGTCGGACTTCGCGACGAAGAAGGGCGCAATCGTGCAGGCGGCGTCCTCTCCGAATGCGATCGACCCAGCCCTGGGGGGCGCCGCAGGGACTCGCGGTAAGTTAATTTGTCTCGATGTAGAACTTCGCCGAAGTGCGGGCGACTTTCCGAAGACCGTTCCTCCTTCGGGCGCGATGGTCCGGCCTTCCTGTCGTGTCGCAAGTCGCTCGCCTCACCGGCAAGGTGCTCGCCAGGCTTGCACTTGGCGTCGTCCAGCGGAAGAGCGACCGAGTCGACGGCGAACGTGGCTGGCTTCGCAGGCTCCTCGAGGTAGCCCGGGGTACTGCGGCGCAGCTCGCTCAGGGGCGCCGCCGAGCTGACGGGCGGTGGGCCTAATGAAGCCAGGCAGCTCCGCGAGGCCGAGACGCCCGCCCGCCGCGAAAGAGAAGGGGAATCGAAGTCGGGGCCGCCCTCCTTGCCGCGCAGCCATTTGACGGCCGCCGAGCGCTCCGACGTCCAAGAACTGACGACGGCATTCTGGACAGCCCGTCGTCTGCGGCCGCGTCTCGGACTCGTATGTGCGGCGAGGCTCGGCGACTCGAGGATCGCGGGCGCCGCGTGCAGCGGTGCGGGCAGAAGATCCCGCTGCGCCACCATGAGGAAGGGGGGGGGGCTTACTTACCGCCAGGCGGGCGGCCAAGCTCGTCGCCCTTCCAGCCGGCCATGCCGGGCGTGGCGAGCTGAGCCTTCAACTTCGTGGTCTCTGGGCTCTGTTTGTGCGCCGAGCCATGGGGTGCTGTCTGGCCGCCCTTGCCCTCCTTGCTGCTTGCCGACGCCTGGTGCTCGGCGCGCTCTTCCCTCATCTTCCGTGGCTCCTTCAGGATGGCGGCCTCCGTCTTCAGCTTCTCCGAGACGGACGAGAGCAAGGAAGGTGGGGCCATGGCCATGACCCGCGTCTCGCCGACGCCCAGGTAGAGATGGGCGTCCTCCAGGAGCTCGTCGCCCTGGATGGCGCCAGTGGCGCGCTCGCGATGCCTGTGCTCGCACATCTGTAATTTCCGAGACACCAGCTCCATGCAAGCTAGCTCGGTGATATCCAACTGGTCATGGACCGTGGCCAACTGCAAAAGTCGGCAACAACGTTCGTGATCTACAACGGACTGATCCCCTGCGGTCAAGCCCGCCTCGGCGCGCCAGTTGGCATGTCGGCTCCGCGGGGCCACGTCGTGGTCACGAATGTACCTCGTAACCCAAAACGTGGTCCGCGATCAAGTGGGACTTCGGCCACTCGGTCTCTGAGAACTCGCTGACGGCATCCCTTCAGTTCAGGTGTGGGCCCTCCTCATTCGTCTCGCGGATGCCGAGCACCCGCGCGTCCAGCGACGTGTCCTTCGGCGGCTGCGTGGAATAGATCACTGCGTGGCCGTGGTACAGGGCGAGGCCGATCCCCGAGATCGTGAAGGAGAGCATGGCCTTCAGGTCAGTGATCTTGCCCAAATGCTTGTCGCTAGTAGTCCACGCGGCATGCCGACGATCTGGGGAAGGGTCGGGCATCCCCTCCTCCACATGCACGTCAGGCGGCAACGTAATAACCTCGCCCGGGCTCTTCAATAACTTGGGGTGACATGGCTTCTCCGTCTGGTCGGGCGTCTTCTTCGCTGGAGCCTGGGTTGGCCGCCCTGACTGCTCGGCCTCGGGCTCCTCGAGGGCGTCGGAGTGCTCGGGGGCCGTCCGCAACATCGCGTCGAAGGTCATCCACGTCACGAACTCCAAGTACTCAAAGAAAAACGCGGGCGACGGGTTCCACTCCGCTCCGGAGGGCTCGGCCTTTGTATCGAGCTGGCGTCCGATTATCGAAGCGGGGCGTCCACGGCCCCTCCGATCGAGCTCCATCGCGCTGTGCACTCCTTTGGCGTGCAGCATGCGAAGATGCGTCGCCGTCGGGGGTGACTGGCCACCACAGACACTCCGCTCCCACCGTCGCTGGAACTGCCTTGCCCATCGCTGACTGGAAGCTCCTCGGCGGTGGCGGGTGCGATGAGCAACCTTACTTGGGGAGACTTGCCACGCTCCCAATGCACGAGCATGCGATGGCCCGCCTTCAGCACTATTCCGCCTGCAGCCGAAGATGCTGGAACGGCCCAGCAGGAACCCCACGGCGACGCCGATCCAGAAGACGAGGGGCAGTGCCCCGCGCACACTCCCCACGAGGTCGGCCGCCGTTGCGCACACGGAGGCCTGGCTCACGAAGTCGGCGGTGATCGGGGAGCCCACGATGGCAGAGCCGAAACGCCAGGTCGCGCCTCCCAGCATGGCCACCGCCACGGATGCAAGCGAACCGGAGGACATGAACGGCCGCTAATTAATTTCTTTCGCCAAAAAGGAGCGGGACCCACACGGCCACAGACTGCTGGCTGCGACAATGGGGGTGGGACAACGGATCTATGACGAGGAGGAGGAGGAGGAGGAAAAGTAAAAGGAGGACGAAGAGGAATACGCGGAATACTAGCAGGATGAGGATGAGGATGAGGATGATGATGATGATGATGAGGAGGAGGAGGAGGAAGAAGAGGAGAAGGAGGAGGAAGAAGAGGAGGAGGAGGAGGAGGAGGAGGAAAGGGAGGACTGAATATTGGATAGTTTTTGGCGCTGGTTGCTCTTCCTGGAAGCCTCCAAGGGCCTTCCTGGGGCCTTGGGAAGACTTCCAGAAGACCTTCGGGGACGTCCAGAGCCCCTTCGCGCGGGGATGGGTGTCCCCCCTCCCGCCTTCTCGGTGATCTTGCCCTTGCTGTCGAACAACTCGGGGGCCATGTACCTAAGGGCGGCACCCACCTCTCGACCTCCCGTTTTTTTGCGTGCACCCCCTCCTCCCTCCTCCCTGTTCCCTCGCTCTCTCCCTCTCTCCCTCTCCTCCTATCCCTCTCTCCCTCTCCCCCTCCCTCGCCGCAACAACCAGCTGCTCCCGTGCGTCTTCCGCGCGGCCGTGAGGCTGCGGCGGGCCTCGCCCCACTTTCCACGCTACGGCCTCGTCCGGGTGGGGCATGGTGTCAGATATGGCGTGGCCACAGCAATCTTGCCCCCCTCTCCCACTCCTTCTCGCCCTCTCGCCCATCTCATTTTAGTCCTCCATCTTCGCCCGTCCCCTCCACCCAGTCTTCCCCCCTCTCTGTCCTCTCCTAGAGATCCGACGATATTACTTTTTCCATATCCTAAGATGGTGTTCTTGTGGGAGTGGGTGGATGCCCGATAGAGCTGCGCATTCAAATCATTCAGCGTCGCTGGGCGCGCGCGCGAAACGAGTGCCCGAACCTTCGGGCCCCAACCTGGTTTGAAAACTCAACAGGAGCATAATGAACAAGAACAGGGGCCATCTACCCAGCTCGCTGGAACCCCTGCAACCGCACAGTGTGTAGATAAATCCCCAAGCTCCGTCGGCTCGACGCAACGGCAGCCCCAGAACACCCGCTGCGCGGCCCCCCGATAAGAGCCTTCGCCGCTCCAGGCACGCTGGTATCCCAACGCGGTCCACCGTCTTTCGTGGAGACGTAAGGCTCGGGTCAACGACGAGGCCCAATCGGAACTTTGTCGCGGGCTCCCGCTGCCAACATTCCACGAAAACTGTACCGCCAAAACCCGAGACGGGCCCATCGAACAGCGCTGGCAAACCCAGCTCCTGGCGAATCCGCATCTTACGTTTCCCGGGGGGAGGGTGGATGGGGAGGGGGAGGAGGAGGAGGAGGAGGAGGAGGAGGAGGAGGAGGAGGAGGAGGAGGAGGAGGAGGAGGAGGAGGAGGAGGAGGAGGAGGAGAATGATGAGGAGGAGGAGGAGGAGGAGGAGGAGGAGGAGGAGGAGGGAGGAGGAGGAGGAGGAGGAGGAGGAGGAGGAGGAGGAGGAGAGAGGATGAGGAGGAGGAGGAGGAGGAGGAGGAGGAGGAGGAGGAGGAGGAGGAGGAGGAGGAGGAGGAGGAGGAGGAGGAGGAGGAGGAGGAGGAGGAGGAGGAGGAGGAGGAGGAGGAGGAGGAGGAGGAGAGGAGGAGGAGGAGGAGGAGGAGGAGGAGGAGGAGGAGGGAGGAAGGAGGAGGAGGAGAGAGAGGAGGAGGAGGAGGAGGAGGAGGAGGAGGGAGGAGGAGTGAGAGGAGGGAGGAGAGAGAGGAGGAGGAGGATGAGGAGGACAGGGAGGCGGATGATGATGGGAGGAGGCGAAGCAGAGGAGGAGGAGGAGGAGGAGGAGGAGGAGGAGGAGGAGGAGGAGGAGGAGGAGGGGAGGGAGAGGAGGAGGAGGGGAGGGGGAGGGGGAGGGAGGGGAGGAGGAGGGGAGAGGAGGAGGAGGAGGAGGAGGAGGAGGAGGAGGAGGAGGAGGAGGAGGAGGAGGAGGAGGAGGAGGAGGAGGAGAAGGAGGATGAGGAGGACGAGGAGGTGGACAAGGAGGAGGAGGAGGAGGAGGAGGAGGGACGCCGCTGAATCCGGGTGGAAATAAAGTAATTAGTTCTGGAGTTCATCCGCGAGAAAGCCGGCACGGCTGTCCACCTTGGGAAGAAGTAGCTCCGGAGTGAATCCACGGGAAAACCGGTACAATATCAACTCCGGAGAAAACACTTAACTCCGGAGTTAATCCACGGGGGAAGGGTGGATTAGGGCGCCGCCCTGGGCCCCGCTAATTAACTCTGGAGTTCATCCACGGGGTAAGGGGTGGATCAGGGCACCGTCCTGGGCCCCGTGACTTATCTCGGGAATTCATCCACGGGGGAAGAGTAACTAGATCAGGGCGCCGCCCTGGGCCCCGTGAATTAACTCTGGAGCTAATCCACGGGGAGGGATGGATCAGGGCGCCACCCTAGGCCTCGTGAGTTAACTTCGGGGTTAATCCACGGGGAGATCTGGATCAGTGCGCCGCCCTGGGCCCCGTGAGTTAACTCTGGAACTAATCCACGGGGGAAGGGTGGATCAGGGCGCCGCCCTGGGCCCCGTGAATTAAGCCCAGAGTTAATCCACGGGGGAAGGGTGGATCAGGGCGCCGCCCTGGGCCCCGTGAGTAAACCCCAGAGTTAATCCACGGGGGAAGGGTGGATCAGGGCGCCGCCCTGGGCCCCGTGAGTAAACCCCAGAGTTAATCCACGGGGGAAGGGTGGATCAGGGCGCCGCCCTGGGCCCCGTGAATTAACTCCGGAGTTAATCCACGGGGGAGGGATGGATCAGAATGCCGCCGTGGTCCCCGTGCATTAACTCCGGAATTCATGCACGAGGGAATGTATGGATCCGGGCACCGCCATTAGCTGCGGAGTGAATCCACGGGGGAAGGGTGGATCAGAGGCCGTTTTGGGCGGGGGGGGGGAATCAGAAGCCTCCAGGGGGGGGGGAATCGGAAGGCTCCTGGGGAGCCTCCAAAAAGCTTCCTGGGGCGCCTCCAAGAGGCCTCCTGGGAGGTCCTGGGTGGCCTCTCAAGGGGCGCCTGCGGCGCCTCTGAGAAGCCTCCTGGGTAGCTTCTCGCAGCTCTCCTGGGGCGCATCTCAGAAGTCTCCGGGGGCGCCTTTCAGAAACGCCCTGGGACGCCTCTGCCTTTTAGAGGCGCTCCAGGAGGTTTCCAAGGGAGGCGCGCTCCTGAAATTGCGAGAACCCACGCGAACAAACCTTAAACCCCGTCCTGTTTCGGAAGAAGCGCGACGCAAACATGCAAACATGATAATGATGATGCAACTGTTGTAGGTGGTCTAGGCAATGGCGCTGATCATATAGACGCGACGCTGATGGTGAACTTTATGATGGTGATGATGACGATGACGACAAAGGCGAAGTACATAATAATGATGACGGTTATGGTGGTAACAATGTGGATGATGATGACGCCGCGAGTGGACATGACGACGATGATGCTACTATTCCGGCCGAACTTCCGTACAGTTGCCAGAAGCCTGAGCAAAACCATCCTTTTGTGCGAATGTATCGCATGGCGCCGCCTGGCCGGAAACCGAAACACTCCCCGTGCAAAAAAACAAAAAATCGCTGCTCGCGTGCTGGTGACGCCCTTGTCGAAGTGGCTTCTGCAGAGCGTAAGGTGTGCAACGAAACGGGCGACACCTGGGCGCGGGCGGCGAATTGTTCCGCGGGCGGAAGCGGAATATTCCACATGGGCCCGATGAACTCCGCAAGCCGCAAGGGCCGCGCGATTCGCATCACCTATATAACCGGCATGGGCCGCACGGGATGAGGGGGCCGCAGGGCCATGCTGGGGACCAGCCCCCACTGCAACTCGGCCCCGCGCCGACCAGCCGAGCATCCCAGGGAGCGCAGAGCCGTCCAGACCAACCAACCAACCAACCAACCAACCAACCGACCAACCATACCCCATGCGCGCACACCTTTTCTTGGCGCGTCCCGCTGTGAGCGTTTGAATGGGAGCGTATTGGCCTGTAGTGACTGAGCATTCTCTAGCGGGTACCCTTTGGGGTGCCCAAGTGACGCGTCTGTGACACCGCGATGGTCATAGGATTCCAAAATCCGCCGGCCCCCTTGCGGGGCCATCAGGCTGCGAGGATTGAGTTCGCTTCTGCCTGCACCAGTTCCAGTTTCCAGTTTCCAATGTTACAGTCTTGCTTTCTGCTTCTCACTGTACATGGGGGGGGGCCGGAAACCGCCCTGGTTAGCGTGCCCGAATCGCGTGCTCTGAATTTCTGGGGGGCCGTGGGACACGCAAAAATACATGAGATTCGCGCTCCCGACGCAATGATCCCTCGTAGATTACGCTGTGTTTGCGCCTCTGAGGCCACGATTTTACGCAGCGTTCGCGTCCCCGAAGCCACGATCCCTTGCAAAATACGCCGTGTTCACGCCCCCTGGAATCACGATCTCCCGTGAAATGATCAACATTCTCGCCTCTGGGGCCACGATCCCCCGTAAATTACTCCAGTCGCGCCCCCGAGGCCGCGATCCCCGCAAATTACGCCGCGCTCGCGCTCCCGAGGCCACGATGCCGAGACAATTGCGCCACGCTGCGTAAATTGCGCCACGTTCGCGCCCCCGAGGCTACGATCCCGCGCAAATTGCGCCACGCTCACACCCCCGAGGCCACGATCTCCTATAAGAGGCTCCAAGAGGCGCAAAAGATACCCCACGAGGCCCCAATAGGACCCCAAGAGGCGCCCAAACCGCCTCCAAGAGGCCCCCGAGAAGCCCCCCACGACACCCCAACACATATACAAGAGGCCTCAGACCCGCAACCCAGGCACGGTGGCGGGATGGGCCGAAGGCCAATAGGATCCGCCGCCCCCTGCTTGCAGGGGTGCACGGCGTGCTGGACGTTTCAAGTTTTGGTTTTG